GGAGTTCTGCAGGAAATAGATGCCGTCTGGGTGTAAGTTGTCGCCGAGGGTCTCGTTTAAGCGTATTTTAGCGAAGTTGCCTTTTTTATTTGGCTTGTGTACGGGCGTGTGTCATAAGTATGATGGAACAAAACCTCGCAGAGGTGAGCAGAGAGATGGGGTTGCCTCCATCCATAACAGCTCATCTTTCTTTTTGTGACTGTACAGGGAAGCTGATGGGACACTAAAGCCTCTTCCGAAGAAAAGTATCGACACCGGGATGGGCCTGGAGAGGCTGGTCTCTGTGCTGCAGAACAAGATGTCCAACTACGACACCGACCTTTTCCTTCCTTACTTTGAAGCCATCCAGAAGGTACAAACTTGAGGGGGGTCGGGCCTGACTCCGGCTTCGTCTGGGCCATTACATCTGCAGATCTCTGCTTTCCCAGCTGCCACAAGCCCCGTGGGTTTGTACTTTGCTGGCACGGCGATTGCTGCCGTGGGGCGCGTTTTCAGCAGAAAACATGGGACAGCGAGCAGTGCAGGGAGAAGAGCACCTCTAAGGAACGAGGTGCAGGGCCTCAGAGTTGGAATAAGGTGCAGAGGCATTGGATGCAGATGATTTCCCTCTCCCTCTCTCTTCAGTCCTGGGTTCTTAATGTTGATGTCTCTTCCCTCTCTGCTCCTGGAGGTCCTGTGGCCATGGCACCACGCAGAGCCTGAGTCGCCTCTTCCCAAGAGGGGCGTGCCTCCTCCGTGGCCGTGGGGATGGGGCTGGCGTCTGAGGCAAATCCCCTGTTGCTCTGCCCCATGGCTGGTCCTCGCTGTCCCTAATCGTCCCCTTCTCTCTGCTCAGGGTACGGGTGCGAGGCCGTACATGGGGCAGGTCGGCGCTGAGGACGCCGACGGTATCGACATGGCCTACCGCGTGCTGGCCGACCACGCACGGACCATCACGCTGGCCCTGTCGGACGGGGGCAGGCCTGACAACACTGGCAGAGGGTAAGAGAGAAAAGACGGGGAGGGGAGCTCTCTGCTTTTCATCCTGGGAAGGGGGAGCTGGTGAAGCCCCCGAGAACAATTCAGGGGTGTTAACATTTGCGTGAGGGGCTCTGCTGTTCCCCAGGTACGTGCTGAGGCGGATCCTCCGACGGGCCGTGCGTTATTCCCACGAGAAGCTCAATGCCCCCAAGGGTTTCTTTGCTACGCTGGTTGACGTGGTGGTGCAGTCACTGGTAAGTTCTTGCCCCGCTTCTGCTGGATCTGCTGAGGGCTTCCTCTGCAGATCTCCGTGCCGAAGGACTCTTGGATCTGCAGGGAGACGCTTTTCCTGAGCTGAAGAAGGACCCAGATATGGTGAAGGACATTATCAATGAAGAAGAGGATCAGTTCTTGAAGACGCTCAGCAGAGGACGTCGCATCCTCGACAGGAAGATCCAGAGCTTGGGTGACAGTAAAACCATCCCAGGTCAGGCTGTCACTTCTGTCTGGGTGCACCAAAAAAAAGCCATTTATTACCTGGGACCAAATCAGGGCTTGGCTGAGCTGAGAACGGCGAAACAGTCAAAGGTGCTGGGGGGTGGAGTTGGGGTCAGAAGACCAAGACCAAGACCTGTCTGTTCTCTGGCTTCGATTCCCTTGCTTGAACTGCTAAGCCACAACGTGACAGTGATAGCTCTGGTGACCACCAGCGTCTTTTAGGAGAAGCTGCTGATGGTCACCAGACCTGTTCACCATCCTGCCCTAGTGCAGAGCCCCTTGGGTGGGACGGGGCCGGCCGGAGAGCAGGGAAAGGAGCGGTTTCTCGTGAAGAAGGGGTGCTGACCGCTCCGCTTTTTCTGTGAAGGCGATACTGCCTGGCTGCTGTACGACACCTACGGCTTTCCTGCGGATCTCACCGGGCTCATTGCGGAGGAGAAGGGCCTCGTGGTGGACATGGAGGGCTTTGAAGAAGAGCGGAAAAACGCGCAGGTACGTACAAAGCTCCTGGAGGAGTGTGGTGGTTTGACCCTGGCCGGTGCCCACCCGGCTGCTCTGTCACCCCTCCTTCTGTGCTTGGCAGGGGGAGAAAATATAACGGAGGGCCCCTGGCTTGAGATAGGGACAGAGAGAGCACCTGGATCTACCATCCTGGGCAAAACAGACTCGATT